ATAATTCCTAATTTGTCCGATATAATGAAGCGGCTACATGTATGTTGAAAAATCCAGTTTCAAGTTCGGTGAGCTTTGTCGCACGTATTTAGAACCTTGTCTTTACAAACCACAAAGTTAAATAAGTCAAGATTAGGTTGTCCCATTATGACAATTTCATTCGTTCACATTTTTCTGAAGTCTAGGCTTCGCTTGCAATTACTTCGAAGTATTTGACAAATTTATCGTCTTGCTTGCCAATTTAGTCTAGAATTCGGAATAATGTGAATTGTCAAAATATACCAATCTCATTTCGTCTCGTTGAATGATCTACAGTGTACTTCTCTATGCGGTATGAGAACATTGCCCACACAAAGAGGAACAGGATTGTCCAAGAGGTCATCGTCATTTGATTGGATAAAAATACAAAATGGTAAGGCTTGGATTGGCTGAAAAGTATCCAGTCAACAATGCCTGCGTGGCAGATGAACCGACCACTTTGGCAGCTAGATGATCAAGCTCATCACGGTGCTGGTCGCGGTCTTTGCTGCCGTCGCAGCGGTCGAAGGAGACTACCGTATGCCTGTGAAGGTTATCTTCCGTGCGTTCTGCTCCGCTTGTAAATGGTTTATCAGTGATCCCATCTTTATGCTGCTCCAAGACGACGAGTACGATCCTGCCCCGACGGCCTCGTTGATCGTTCACTCACCTCTCTTCCCTCGTAGATTTCGCGCCGTGACGGACATCCAGTACCATTGAGTACCCAAATTCCGTTTGCTAAGTGTGCTCGTCTTCGTGTAGATATGTACCAGCCGCCGCCATGACCGAGACGGCCACAGGTGGTGTGACGTGCTATGGAGGGAAGGAAGAGTGCGAGGGGCATCTATGGATGGCATGCATTCTCGATCGATTCAAGACGTCCCCCAAAATCACAGGCATTCACATGGCCGTAAGACGTCGACCACCCTACATTCGCATCCTCACATGCGGAATGTAGTGCTTTGAGTCGGACGAATCAGGGTACACCTGGCAAGGGAAGGTCGCGTACTGCTTCAGCGATGCTGCCGACGTCGCAGCGTTGACTGAATGCAAGGCTAACCAAGCGCTGCCGCTTCTCCGGGAGGTAATCGGTCACTGCATGCCGTCGTGAAACCGCATCCTTTTGACGTGGTCCTCGCGTAGTTGATGGTCGTTGCCAAGGCGAACGAAGGCCCATGGCAACCATACGTGCGCACCCATTGCTCTGCTTTACACAATTGACCCATTCGTCGGACCAAATTAGACTATTGTGGACGACATTGTCCTTGGCAGTGCGACGGTGGGGGTCTCCCTGGACATGGTGAAAGACGAGATCTGCCGTCATTTCAATGGCCCTGCTGAGGTACCTCTTTTCACTCCATCAAGCTCGTCACGCATGTCGCCATGAGCAGCTCCTTCCTGCGTATTGCATGAACGTGGCTGGCGTCGTTCTGCGCACACCACCACCAGTTACCGCGACCGATCCCCCCGCCGCGGAAAAGGTCACGGTTCAAGTGGTTTGGCGCGCTTACTGGTACGGGCGCATGCCACAAGTTATCTATTCATGGTCGTCTAGCCCCGCGTGCCAGTGGTTCTTTTCCCACCCGTTCTACCAAGTGCTGAGCGACGCAGCGTACGATGGACGTCGATTTTGTGCTGCATTAACGCTTGTTGCCCTTTAGATTTCAAGCCATCGTGGATATTGAGTAACCTTACACAACCTGTTCCTGGTCGTTCATGGATTCATCTTGAGCAGACTGTACCCATCTGGATCGACCAAAGAGACGTCTCCGGGGGTGTTTACCTGCACGGGTGGTGCCTCCGAGTGCGCGGGGCATCTTTACATGAGCTGTGCGCTGCGATTGTTTCCTCAGCTCCACGACGTTGCCGCGAATTTCAAGGTGCGTAACATTTGTCGACCAAGGTTTGCCTCTATGCTGCATTATTATACCTGACAATTTTCGGAAAGTGGTCGTGTCGGTCTTTTATACGTTTCGAATCTTTTCTTAAATGGTTTATATGTTCTTATATCATTGGAAGCAATCGTTCATGTCGTGTATGCCATAGTGCATGGAAGAAAGCAGCGATACATGGGACCGCCGCATGGCCGCGTGCTTCTCCGGCCCGGGGCTGGAAAAAATCAAAGCGTGCTTTGGATCGGACGAGTCGAAGCGATACCTCCACGATTACGTGGCCGTGACGTCGACGATGGACACCCCGTGGATGCCATACGTAAGCGAAACGATCTGTTGCCGAGCAAGCGTGTGATGGACTGACTTGGATGTGGTAGATCAAAGTGAATGGAAAGGTGCAAGGCACTGCGACCACGGGGGTGGGGTATGACATGCTGACCAAGGCCATTTGCGACGCCTACGACAGCGAGGTATGGTCGTGGCGTTTATATCACGAGTGTGACAGCACCGCAGGTGAATCGGCCGAGCGTTTGTGCACCGTTGGGGAAGGAACCGGCTAAAGGAGCAAGCACGGAATCTGCCGCTGCGGTGGTGGCAGCAGTGGTGCAAACAACCACTTTGGCAGTGTCGACGGCCGCGGTTCCTGTGCAAACGACGCTCCAAGTCGTCAAAGCGAAGGAGAAGAAGCCCGTGATGCCCTGTCGTCAAAAGGAGAAGGGATTTGTGTATGAAGACCCACCTGGCATTGGTGTCCCAGTCACTGGCGGGACCCCAAGCGAGGCACGGGCGGCGGGTGGCGTCGCAACACCGATCAAGCTATCCAGCTCGACACCTTCGTCCATCATCACGAACCCGCTTCTCCTTCCCGTGCTGCTCATCGGAGGGCTTCTCTACGCCGCCCTTCGCTATTACTCCAAGCCAGACAAGAAGGACTTGTAACGCAGCCTAGATGTCGAATAGACCATCACGAGGATTTTCTTCGTGGTTTGATTGGTGGATTCTTTCCGAACAGATTTTCATTGGTGGGCGATCACCAACATTCCCAATTGGCGATAGACTGGAGTTTGACAAGGTGCTATCCATGCCATGACCTTGACCGCTCCTGGCGCCATCAGCGCACAACTCTGCTTTCCACCACTGCGCTCTATGCGTTTCTTCAAAGACGGCATAGCACAAACGTTTGCCGATGCATGATGGACTTGGCGCATACCTGTCTTTGCCGTACGGACGGCCACGACCCGTATCATGTCGCTAGTGCGATAGCAGCGTGCTCGTTAGGTATTACGCACCTCATGGGAGATTCCGGCAGTCAAGTAGCTGAGGAAGCGCTCCATTTCTTTTGTGCAAGTCGTCGTCCCGATGGTTCGAGATGCATACATCAGCCATCGTCGCATCCTGGCCACAATCGACTGGCTTTGTCGTGTGGGTCCAGTTCGGGTGTACTCCAAACGCGGCCTTTGTTCCGTTTGGAATACACCCGAACTGGACCCTCCTCACGTTGGTGAACTTGCCGACGCCGCAACTCTGGACTTTGTCGCCATATTCCTCCTCACGAAGCCGCCAATTCCTCCTTCTCGACGCCACCACGCGGGTCAACTGCACTCTAGAGCTTCGTGTTGCTCTCCCTACGGCTGGCGGGTGGACCTGCCTGACAGGCATGTTCGATACAAATCTCACCAAGGCCACCATGTGCGTCGCATGCGAGTCGCCGCGGCAACTTACTTGACCACTCGTGGGTCCCCAGACTACATGACGTGCAGTAGCAGCCCATCACATTGAACTCCGACACGATTGAGCTGGTTTAGACCAGCGCAAGACCGAAGGTGGTCGATTCCAGTGTGCAGATGTTCAAAGGGATGTGAACGTCGGCCTCTCACATGCAGGTACCCTTGTACGACGTCTTGGCGACGGATTTCTCAAACGTGGCGCGTTCCTTGGAGAATGCGCTTCACGATTGCCCTCGACGAAGTGGACGCAAAGTCGCTTGTGGATGAGGTTAGGCAGCGACCCGCTTCGCAGCGTCCTTCCCGCTGACTTGCAGGGTTAAGGCAAGAGTTAGGTGCTCAACATTCGGTCATGTCGTACGTGTCAACCACTCACACACGTCTCGACAACTGCTGCGTTGGTCACGGCGATTGTGCTTGACTCTGTCGAGGGACCGGCAATCGCGACGCCACCTTCCACTTCCACTGGCCTTGGCGATGCTCGCTTGGCTATTCTCCCCTGTGACAGACATTCTTCCGCGACGGCAGGCTCACTATTACACGTCGCCCATCCATGTGCTGTGCCCCGGAACAATCGAAGCACTTGATCCGAGCTCGAACCGTAAAGACGCGCATTGCAGCGTCACCTAAAAAGGCAAGGAGGCGCGCAAGTTCGGCAGGATGTCGTCCCAGGTCGAGCAAATTCGAGAGCATTTCCGTGCACGCGGCGAAAGCACACGGCTCTACTATTACCATGGGAGCTCGTGCTCGGGTCTACAACGCGTTTGGCGCGCGCTCGTTCGACGGGGTAGCGCTGAAGCTCATGGCGAACATTCTAGCGCAGAGTCTGTTTTTCTAAAACGCCGCAGCGATCGCAGGACTAAACAGCTGCGAAGCGCGCGCGATGCCAACTTGCCTCCGACGTGAAGAAGGCCGAGTGACGTTGCAAGAGCGTCCATGTAGTTCCATCCGTGACTATCACCGGCACGCCTCTGAATGCAGGTGCCCAGCCTCTGGAAGTGTTAAAACAGGCGCTTCGACAAATCGCCGCTCACCAGGACCAGTAGTTGTAGCTCGTGGAAGCATTTTTTCACGTATGCCAAGAAGCAGTTCCATCATGTAGCTCAATGCATCTTGCATCAGCGCGATTCATTCACTTTCATTTGTCTCTGAGCCGCCAAAGAAGGGAGATGTTGGCCATGCTGGCATTGCATTCCCCATTGGGCAAGTCGTGCTCGACCTCGATGCGCCGAAGTTGGTGCTGTTGTATGCGGCTGCCACGTCATTTACCAGGCATTGCCATGAAACGGCCGCAACTGCCACATCGAAGAAATCGCGTCGGAAAGTGGACGGACGCGTGGGGACCTGTCGATGGGCGGCAAGTTTTCGCAGATCCATTACCGCGAACGGGACACGGCGGTCTTGTCCGATTTTGCGCTCCTGGCCCAATGGTGGTAAGTCATCCAGCTCATGCGACCCTGGCATGACGGAAGTCGCCAGGGGAAAACCAGAGCTCGACATCGTGTCGGCGCAGCTGCGACGCATCTCGTTCAATTTTTGCCTGACACGGGAGCACTTTCAAGAGATGCTGTGTCTCCATCACAACGATCTCTTTCGTCACATCGTCCACCGGTGGTTCGACCACTTTAAAAACACCGACTCGAGCACGATTATCAACGGCCTCGAGTTTGTCGCGGCCCTCGCGATCGCGAGCCCAGGCACGGGCAAACTCGCCGAGAAAGTCGCGTTTGTCTTCGACTTGTTTGACTTTGACCAGTCGGGGTGCCTCACCAAAGATGAGCTCATGATTCTGCTCAAGTCGAGCGTCCGGGGCCTCACCAAGCTCACGCAAGGCCTGGGCCTGCAACTGTCCAAGTTGTGTCCGATGGCGCAGATCGAAGACCTCGCGTCCGTGTGCTTTCGGTACGTCCGTGACATGCGCCGCGAGCAGCGTGACCCTTTGTCTTTGTTTCAGACATTGTGGCCTCGACCCATCCGACGACCTCCGACGCGATGGGTTTGTCCACTGGGTCCAGTGCACGCCCAAGTTGACCAGCCTGCTCAAGTGTTACGTTCCCAAAGACAAGCTATCGCGCGAGGAAGCGGCGGCGTCGATTCAGCGGGTCGCTCGTGGGATGCTCGGGCGCAACTTTGTCGACGAGCTGCGGCTGCACAAGCAAATGCTGCAGCACCAAGAACTAGATGTGGCCGCGAGCAAGATCCAGGAGGCGATGATGAACCGAAAGAAGCGCCAAGACACCATTCGCCGCTCCAAAGTTGAACGGAATGCGTTGAGCGGTGCGCTCTACAGCTTTGGTGCCAACACGCACGGCCTGCTCGGCCACGAGTTCCATGACCTGGACAAGCCCGTGAAAGACCCGAAGCTCAACTTATTCTTTAAGCATGCTGACTTGCGCGTGGTGTCGGTGGCGTCGAGTCTTGTCCATGCGGCGGCCGTCACGTCGACAGGGGTTGCGTATACATGGGGAGCGTGCACTCCGGGAGCGTTTGGCACCGTTCAGGTGAAAGGCACCGAGGGAGGGAGCCACCACGACGTTGTGCGACCGTGCCCGCAGCGCGTCGATGATCTGACGGGAGTCCAAGTCACGTCGATGTCCCTTGGTGCGCGGCACTCGATGGCGCTGACCGCCGACGGCGCAGTGTACTCGTGGGGGTCTAGCGAGTTTGGGCAGCTCGGTCATGGCGACCTCGTCAACAACGAGCTGTACCAGCATCAGTTTGACCAGCATACCGGTCGATCGTATCCCGTGATCGATCTCCCGCTTCGACTCGACAAGAGCCTGTTTGACGATGTCAAGATCAAGCAGATTGCATGCGGGTACTACTTCTCCGTGGCGTTGGCCGAGGACGGGTGCGTGTACACGTGGGGCGAAGGGTCGGACGGCCAGCTCGGGCTCGGTCTCAGCGACGACTTTTACGTCGGCTGTCTCGACGACTTCATCCACCAAAGCAACTTTACCTACATGCCGACGCCGCAGTACGTCAACTTGGATGAGCCCATTGGCCACGTCGCCGTCGGAGGCAACCACGTGTTTGCCGTGAGCCGCAACCACCGCGCTGTGTTCGAGTGGGGGGCGGCGTTTCGCCGCGATGGCGATCCCATCTACTCGCCCACGCGGAACGACGCGTTGAGCTCGCTCTACGTGAAATCAATCAGTGTTGGGAAAGACTTTGCGTTGGCCATCGCGGGGTGCGTCTACGTCAAGCTCCCGTCGTGCGAGTGCATGTATGCCCTGGCCGCGACGTTTGGGACGCAGCCCGCCGACTTGTACGTGGGGCTGAGCGCATCGTTGGTTGCGGCGGGAGTCCCAAGAGCAAAGGCAGCGTACGCCATCAAGGAGGAATGGTCCCAAAAGGTACGGGCTCACCAATGCGCGGAGGATGCCAGGGGTTGCCGACTGATGCTGCTGGTTTCGGGACGTTCTAGGTGGTGTACGTCGACCGAGGCAAACCGTCGGGGGCGTGGGTGACAGTCCAGATCGACTCGGACGGGTCGTCCGAGCCGTTCACAGTCGCCTGTGTAGCTTCTTCGTTTGGTCCGGTGTTTCAAGGAGGCGTTTGGTTTGCCGGCGAGTGCTTTTTCACGCCGCAAAAGCTCTCGTCGCTCAAGTACTTTGTTCGGCCCGAAGAGATCCAGGTTAGTTCGTCCTGTTTGCCCGCCAGTACTGCCGATGATGGATGTGCGGGGTATCATCGACTAGGGCAAAGTCGTCGTGCTCCACGTGGAGGAGACGGACTTACCGGTGCACGATCCAGACGACGACGTGTCGATTGTAGTCGAGCGGTTGATGGTCATGATGGTCGACAAGGTCAAGGACGCACAGGAGTGCGGCGCGATGGGCGTCGTGATCGTGTTTAGCTTCATGGCGGACGCGTTCAGCTTGGCGACGGAAGAAAGCTTTGATTTTCACATCCCGAGCGTCATGCTGAGTGCGTCGGCCGGCGCGCGGCTCTTGGCGTACATCGGCGAGCATAAACAGTCGTCGGCCAGGATCCAGCTGCAGTTGTACCACCACGACGATACGTTGGGCGAGCAGGTATGTCGAACTCAGTCCATGTTGTTTCCCAAGGAGAGATCGGTGGGGGAGGCTGGCGTGTTGGCGCATTGTGAACATAGCGCCATTCGTGAAGTGACGTGGGTTGTGCTGTAGCTCCTTTCCATTCAACAGGCCGGCGCCGTCGCCGTCATAGTTGGCCAAAATGCCATCGACTTGAAACCTCAACGGGTACAGTCTGTCGATCGCCCCTGGCCTGAGCTTGACACGTCAAATGAATCATTTAGCTGGACGAGTCGGTATTTGCAGGACTCGGGAATGCCGTGGCGCATTCCAAGCAAATGCGAATTCCAGTGCTGAGTGTCTCGCACGAGGTCGTGCACCTTCATCGAGATGCCGACCTCCTTATCCCCGCGGTCGAGTAGGTTGGCCTAGCCATCAAATCCCTCTACCATTCTATGATTCAAGACGCGTTTGCGGAAATCGGCATGTCCAGCTTTGGCGACGTGTATGCGTGGGGCGCAGGAGACCACGGCGTGTTGGGCTTGGTACAGTCTGCCTAGGCTCGCCGGCAGTACCTCACACGCTGCTTTGTTCGGCAGGGCGACATGGACAATGATCGCAAGTTCACGCACGGGTACGATGCGCTGTCGAATACGACGTATCCTTTGGCGAAGCATCCTCAAGTTGTCGACGCGTTGGTGCAAACTCGAATCGTCAAGGTATCGTGCGGACCCCAGCATGCAGCGGCCGTGTCCGGTATGTCGTTCCGCCGGACTTGTCGTGTGACTCAAAGCTAGACACGGGCGACTTGTACACGTGGGGCAGCACTGCCCATGGCAAACTCGGCCACCAAGGTCCCGTCGACCACACGGACGAAACTACTCCGCAACTTGTTGCTGCCCTGCACTCGGTCAATGTTCTCGACGTTGCATGTGGTCCTGAATACACGGTGCGTCGTCGACGCATGAAAGAACGAGGCGGCATGAACGATTCATCATTGTAGCTCGTGGTCACAGCGATGACCGACTCGACCGGCCCGATGGAGACGGTAGCCCTCTAGCTGTCGCTGTGGATGCATGCCGCGCCGACCCACCACGTCATGACTCGACCGTAGTTGTACGAAATCCAAAGGTTTTCAATAGCTGTTGGAGCGTGTCCATGGGATGTGGCGGTCGCGACGGAGTCAACCGATCCGGTGGGTCAAAACATCTCCATTACGCCACCGTTAAACTGCACACGACAAGCGTCATGTTGTCGACAGCCGTGCCAAACACTTGGGCGGAGACCGCCTTGTTCTGACGCATCACGTCGTCCGCGACCTGTTTGAGCACGCCCTTGTGGTCGTCCATGGCCTTCCACAGGACTGAGCTGAATTGCGCGTACTCCCACGCGTCCCAGACACCATCGCTGCCCACGACTACGATGACTTGGTTCCACCCTTCCTGCGCCATGAGCTGCTTCACGTCGACTTGAATCACGTCCGGTTCATGCGTGAGCCCGTACGAATGGATGTAATAATCGCCAAGCGATCGCGTAAACGCAAGGGATTCGTGAAATTTGGCCCGCGACGGAGTGCAGCAAAGCGATGCCCATTCTTGACGCACGTTCTTGAAGTAACAGCCTTCGCCGACCTTGACGAGTTTGCCGCTGCGGTGCGTGTACACTGGCGTCTTTTCGAGTGCAGCGTGCTTGTCCCTGACACTGACACGCTGATTCGAGCTTTCGACGAGCCCGTCGTACACGAAAAGCAGCTCTGGAATGGCACCGTTCTTTGTTGGAACACTTCGCGCCATCGCCGTCCGCTCAAATTCTGTCATGCACTCGGGGGAGTGGTCGCCACTTAGCTGCAACACGTGGCTGGATTCCGGCAACTCTGCAGGTAGCGCCACCGGAGGCGCGTCGGGCCTTCGAAGGAGATGCAGCACATTTGACGCTTGCAGAGACGACCATGACGCGTCGAATGGACTTGGAACACACAACAACGCGGAGGAATCGCCGACATTGGCACACAGCATCGTAGCCCCACCATTCAATATGACAACAATTGATGCTGTGGTGCCTCCCTGTACGAGAAGAGACTTTTGAAGCATCCCTTGCTTAACAATAAGGTAGCCACCTTCCCGCTCGACCACTTGAAGCCGTTGGCGCTCGTAGTACGCCCGCAATGCCTTGACATGAGGTGAGCGCAGGTGGATGGTTATCGTGCATACCTGGCCGATCGCAGCATGACAATCGTCAAAGAGGCACCGCATTGTGTTTTCGCCGTCCTCAATCAAATCATCGTACGTCCGATCTTGTTGCAGCTTTTGCTCGAAGAAGGTTTTGGCCGTCTCGGCCGCGAGCTTGCCATGCGTCTTCCCGTGGCCGTCGAACACGGCCAGTGCGGTGTGGGTCTTATAGCTTATGGCGAGGAAGGTGTCCTGGTTCTCCTTGACGTGGTTGCCGGGATCTGTGCAGCCGTGGACTTGGGCCAGCATCGTCTCGGCAGTCGTTCGGCGATCGCAATGACACTTTCTCGATGGGGTAAAGAGTTGCAAATATGAGATAGCCAATCACGTTCGAGATATCAACTATTCAGCGAATCAAATGAACGTACTCAATATCCAATCAAAATGATTCAAGTTGATTTTTATAGCCAATAAATGACCACGAATTCAAAGAAGTCTTGATTCAGTTACGAAGCGACACGGTTGAGATGCCGCGGGCATGGCATGCTCTTGTCATGATGCTGCCGGTCGTCGCGGGCGACCTGGCAATTCCCCGATCAAACGTCGTCAACTCTATCGGAAGCGTCGACACGTTGCAGACGATTCCGTTGGTCGCCGATATCGTCATCCCCGACGGCCGTGAGATCTTTCTCCCTATCCACATTCCGTCCGTCGCCGTGGCGGTCAACGCGAACGGGCCCGCAAAAATCGACAAAGTCAGCTCTCTGCACGCCAATGGACTGTTTGGAGTGGGAGAAGTCATCGACATTGACGTCCGATTCACAAGCGCCGTGGACGTCGTCGGGACACCCTCCCTTCGCATGCGCACGGGGTGCAATACTGCATCCTGTCGGGTCAAAGAAATCCAAACTATCACGTGTTCGGCCACCAGTGGTGTGTCGTCGTCGTTCTCGTACTCTTTATTCACGTCTTGTCCATCGCGATAGGCAAGTTTGCTGTGTCATTCCAAGGCCAGACTGTGTCCAACATCCCATTCAATGCGACGCCACTTCGATTGACCAACTACTTGCTTCGACTCACGTCTATCGCAGCCGTCCAAGTGTCGTACGATGCAGGCACTCAAGCGTGCACGTTCTACGGCACAAAGATCACAATTCAATTCGACCAAGTCAACTTTGTCACGCCCAACACGGACGACGGCAACCTCCCATCCCTCACGACGGACCGGTTCAACCTCCAAGGCGACGGCATTGCACTCGCTCACCACACGAGGTCAGTTGATCTGACGCCGGTGGCCATCGAAGTGCAGAGAGGTGTCGCCCCCACCGACCGCGACGCGCTGTTTGTCGGGATGCGGACGCCGACGACACTCATCTTTCGCTACATTGTGGCCTACGGTGACGTGTCGCTGGATCTAGACTATGCCGCGCCAGACTCGTTGTCCCTTAACGCAGGCGGGTCAATTTGCAACGCAGGGACGCTGATCGCGGCATCGCGGACGCTGCCAGTTCCGGGCCGCGCGCCGGCATGGCCCGCCGGGATGGTATCCAGCCTTGCCGTCAACAACGACATTGCGTTGAATTCCAACATTCCCGTCATCACCGCCGTGACGACCACCAAGCCTGACGGCATTTATGGCCAAGGCGAGGTCATCGAGATCAGGATTGCGTTTTCGCTTCCCGTGACGGTCGTTGGGGCCCCCGTGTTGCTGTTGGCGACCGGGATGAATGTCGCGCGAGCGCCGGTTGTCCGAGTCGACGCTGGAGGTACTGTCCTCGTGGCGCAGTACATCGTGAGCTTTGGCGACTACTCGTTGGATCTAACGTACGTGGACGCGACGTCGTTCGTGCTGAATGCGGGCGACGCTGTCCTCCGCCAAAGCACAACGTCGACGATGCCAGTCAACATGACACTGCCCCCAAACGGATTGCCGGGAAGCCTCTTCAACTTGGCCAACATCGTGATCGACACAACCCCGCCATACATTATGTCTGTGACGAGCGCTCTACCCAACGGCGTGTACACGACTGGCGACGTCCTGTCGTTTGCCATGGTGTTCTCGCGCCCGGTTTTCGTGACTGGCATGCCGCAGTTCCAAGTTGCCACGGGGTCGACCAACCTCTGCCCTGGCCAGTTTGTCGTTCGAGTCCCGACGGACGGCGACGCCAAGGTGTTTATGTTCCCCGAGGCAGTCGATTGGCGCTGGCTCGAACCAGGTACTTGGCGTTCATCTGTCGTGGAATGCTGACTTGGTGTAGGATATTTCGTTGTTATCGGCGGTCGGACGTACACAGTCGCTGGCATCGTGGGGTACAAGGTCACCATGATCGAATCGTACGTGGGGACGGCGGTGAACCTCGGCACAGACCCTGCGTCGCCGCAGCTGTCCATCTTCACGCGGGGATTCCAGTATGCAACGTACACTGGAGGCAGCACAACGTCGACGCTCCAATTCTCGTACCAAGTCCAGCACGGCGATGTCTCTCCCGACTTGACGGTGGCGTCCGATGTTCTCCTTCCCCCCGGCAGTTCGATCCTGCGCCTCTCGACAACTCCGTCAACCCCTGCCAACCTGGCCATGCCAGCCACAGGGTCGGCAGGAAGTTTGGCAGTGGCGAGCCAGTTGGTTATCAACACTGACCCGACGACCGTCACGAGCATTTCGTCGCCGACTCGAAGCGGGGTGTATGTCACAAACAGTATCGTTGCCATGGCTGTCCAGTTCTCGAATCCCGTGGTTGTCGTTGGCCCGACCGCACCGGGGCTTCTCACAAACGTGGGCGAGAACCGGTTTGCAACGTATGTGTCGGGGTCTGGCACCAACACGCTCTTGTTTCAACTGGTCATTCTCTCGTCGGATTCGGCGGCGGCGGTCGCGCCGCTTTCCCGGGATGCCATTCGCATGCCCAACGTATTTACGTCCATCCGACGGAAATCCATGAACCCCATGGACTCGGCCATCCTGACGTTGCCTGCTGCTGCGCTGACGTTGGCATCCACGGTTCTGACCGTGAATCCATCCGCAGCCACAGTCACCGGACTGGCGTTGGAGGCGCCGCTTTGGACCACCACCACCATGGCATTGCGGCCCGGAGACACGGCCACAATCGCCATGACCTTCAGTGAGCCCGTCGCTGTTGCGGGCGGTACAGTCCCCTTGCTCGATCTGACGGTGGGAAAGCCCGCAACGTACACGTCTGGGACTGGCACGGTCAAGCTGTTGTTTCAGTACACTGTCCAATACGGCGACCAAGTCGCGAGTTTCGACATCGCGTCCCCCGACGCGCTTCGTCTGAATGGAGCGACCATTGTGGCTGTCAACGGAGGGGCGCCGGCGAGTGCCCAGCTTTTTCGGCTCAGCTTGGTCATGAGCAACAACCAGCCGCCACGGCAGCCCTTGGCGATCGATCCGTCGCCATTTCGCATTTTGAACGTTCGATCGTGGACTATCGATGGCACGTACACCGTCGGCGACTCGCTGTTGTTGGCCGTGACGCTCTCGGACACTGTCGTGGTGTCAGGTACGCCTCAGTTGTTGCTCCGCACTGGCAACACTGGAGGCGATCAAGCGGCCAGCTACTACAGCGCAGACGCCAACGTATTGTACTTTGTGTACACAGTCCAGCCAGGCGATGCGATCGTCCAAGTCGTGGAAGCGTCGTCGGCGGCTTTGCAGTGCTGGAACGATGTGGGGCTGAATGCAAACCCAACAGCGGACGATGCGTCCGCGGTGGCGGTCGTGGACTGGTCGAACCAGCTCGTCGTGTGCTGGAGCGAAAGGGGCAACGTGCAAGTGCGGCTGTTCAATAACAACCCAAACATGCCTCTGTGGACAACATTGTCGGCAGCTCTGAATGCCAACGCCGCCCAAGCCGCGAGCAACTGCAAGTGCCGGGGGACGTCCACTGTGCCAAGCCAACTTGTCTGCGCTTGGGAAGAATCCACGGCGGGCGGCTCCAGCGTCGTCCATGTGTCGGTCATGACGGGCTCGGTGGTCAGCCCAGTGTGGACACTGCTGTCCGGTGCGGGCCTGAATGTCGACTTGACCAAGGCAGCGACTCAAGTAACGTTGGCGAGCGCCAACAGTGGCGTCCTTGTCGGGTGGACGGAAGTCATGGCGGCAACCGCAAATTCCGCCATTCAAATCAAATCGTGGAATGGCAACGCGGGAGCGCCCGTGTGGACATCGATCGACGTGGCATCCTTGATGACCACTCCGCCCACTTCCAACCACTACCACCCTCGGCTCTTTTACTTTAACGCGCGGTTGACGCTCGCATGGACAGAAGCCGTGTCCCCCACGCGGACCAAGATTCGAATCGCAGCCATGGTGGCGACGTCGTGGGTGGCGATGGACGGGAATGGCGCTGGATTGAATGTGCCGACCCGATTGGCGTCCATGCCGGCACGAAGCGTCTGCGATTCGAAGCTGTACGTAGCATGGCAGGCCACCGACACGTCCGGGTCCAACGTAGGGGGTACCATCCGCGTCCAAGTGTACAACAGCGACGGGAATACTTGGACATTCATCGATGGAGGGGTGGGACTCCAGTCGCATCCGACAGCTGCCATCGGGGTCGGATTCGTGTCGCTTGCATGTGCGTCGACGGGGCTGACGGCGGCATGGCAAGAAGAGATTGGTGGGGTCGTGATAAATCGAGCCGCGACGTATTCCACAGCTGCCAACGCATGGAGTCCCGCGGGGACTCCCATGGATAACCCGTCCCAACCCGCGACGAGCACAGGTCCCGTGTTGGCCATGTCCAGCGCATTTCTCTTTGCGGCATGGACAGAGCGCCACGCCGTCAATGGAAAGGCTCAGTTGCATGTCGCCATGTTCGCGTCGGATTCACTCGCGTGGCTCTCGATGACGTATGGATGTTTGAAGCGTCCCGGCACGGGCTTTTCTGTCCCGTATGCACTCACGTTGCCGTCGCTGTTTTCGCAGGCGAGTTTGGGTGACTCTGCCCGCCTGGAGCTGGCTACGTCGGTACCCACAGTCGTCGACATCACGGCGCTGTCCCCACCAGGCCTGTATCGGCTGAAAGACACGGTTCAAACAATCGCTGTCGTGGCCACGGGGACGTCCACCATCACTGGTGGCGGGTACTCGATCGGGTACAACGGAGTCGCGTCGGCGTGTGTGCCGTGGAATGCGGCCGCCATCGACGTCGAGAACGCCATCAAGGCGATTCCAGGCCTCGGCCTGGACGTCGCGGCGACCAAAGTCGCGACCGCATTTCTCCGTGGCGGGGTCCTGTTCCAGATCACATTTGCAACCCCCTCCGTCGGAATCCACCCACTCTCGGTCGAATCGAATGGATGCGCTCCGTTGACGTGCGCGAACGGCGCTGTGTGCGGCCGAGTTCTCGTCAACACAGACAAGCCGGTGTCGGGGGTGCAGCCGGGGTATGTGGATTTTCTCGTGACGTTTTCAGTCCCAGTCCAAGTCGCGCCTGGAGGTGTCCCGCCTGTTCTCACTCTATCCAACGGCTTGGCTGCCACATATACCCCCGGTTCGATCGTCCAAGTGCTTGATGTTGGTGTAGCTGCCCCGAGTCGAACAATTGCCGGATCGTTTGCCCTCGCCTATGGCGGCGTACCGACAGCATGCATTAACGTAGAAGCAACGGTGGACGGCAGCTACTCGTCGGTCCGCCATCGGCTCATGGAGCTTCCTGCCGTGGCAAACATTGGGATTGCGTCGATTCGATCCCGCGTGTTCCAAAATGGCATCCGCCACGTCATTCGTTTCCAACAGGGGGCGCCACTCGCGTTGTCGTACGAGCGTACAATCACCTGCACGCCGTTGGTTGGGCTGGTCCAAACGATCGATCTCACAACAAGTGCGACTGTGACGGCGGGGAGTTTTGCAGTGGGTTTGGGGTCGCTGACAAGTGCCACGTGCTTGCCCGTTCTCACGACGACGGCGGCGGACCTCGGCGCGGCCCTGGTCGACTTGACCAACCACGAGATCATGGTCACCGTCCAGAAGCAACCCCTTCCCACCGGAGGGTTTCGTTTTGCCGTGACATATCCCGACGCCCACGCCGCCGAAGCCATGCCGCTGACTGTCTCTACCGCTGGCTGCACAGCTTTGGTGTGTGCAGGCGGCACGTGTTCGCTCGTTGTCAATGCGGACTACACTGTTGCCGCCGCGCGGACGCCGTCGCTCACGTTTCGGTATACTATTCAAGCGGGCGACGTTGTCCCGGCCCTTGGCTACACGAGTCTGACGGGAAGCATTCAGCGGGCAGCAGCGTCGGGTACAGTTGCCGCTACCTTGACGCTTCCACAAGGGCTGCGTCCCAGCGGCGTCCAGATCGATTCAACGTCGATGCCGACAGTCACACGAGTTGTATCGTCGACGCCCAACGGCGTGTACTCGCAAGGGAACCGAATTCACGTCGTGGTATCGTTCAACAAAGCGGTCGACGTCACTGGACACCCGACGCTCGAGCTCAGCTCGAATGGTGTCGCAGTGTACACGTCTGGTTCTGGCACGAACGCGATCACGTTTCAGTACGTTGTCGGTCCCGGCGAAGTCACAGCCCGTCTCGACTGTTATTCGACTGCGTCGTTGCAGTTTTTAACGCCCGCGACGGCCATGCACTACCGGGACCCGATCACGCAAGCGCTGACTCCCGTCGACCCGACACTTCCAGTCGGGGCGGATGCCAACAGCCTCGCGACACTGTCCGCGGTCGTCATCGACGCGGTCGTGCCGTCCGTGGTCGCCGTGACGTCGTTGAAAGCATCTGGGACGTACGGCACGGACGAATCGATTGATTTTGTCGTCGAGTTCACTCACCCTGTCGTCGTGACGGGGACGCCGTCGATCGCGTTGAACAGCGGCGGTAGCGCATTGTACACACTGGGCGGACTGCGGCAGCTCCTCGACGTCGGCGTCACGTCCCCTGTCACGTCCGGGCAGTTTGCAGTGTGGTATGACGGAGTGTTGAGTGAATGCATCGTGTACAACGACGTCGACATGCTTCGATCCAAGCTCCTGGATCTGCCTGGCATCGGTGCCATCGGACTGACGTCGGTCACGTCCGCGCCATACGGCCTTGGGCACCGGATTACCGTTCTGTTTGCCACCCCGGATGTGCACACGGCGCCACTGGAGCTCGTCCCCGCGACTCCTCGCCACTGCATCCCGTTGTCTCCTCCATCGTCGAACACGTTCCTCGTCACCCGAGGCAGCGACGACCACCTCACGTTCCGATACACTGTTCAAAACACCGACGCGGCGACTGCGCTGGCCGTGATCGGCCCGACCATTGCGCTCCACGGGGGAACGATGCGGCGGCAAAGCGACAACCCTTCCATGGACGTAGCCACGGCGTTGGTGCTCCCGGCCACAATGCATGCAATTCGAATCCAAGGCGGCGTGCCGTCCATTGCGCATGTCACGATGGTCACTGCGGGCGGCACATACGGCGTCGGGTACCCCCCGGCGTCCAGTCCACCGCATGTCAAACCCGGTCAAATCCTGTTCACCGTCGCGTTTTCGATCGAAGTCGTGTTTGTGGATGACGTCACGATCGTCATGAACACGGGGCGGTCGGCCGTGTTGTATGCGCAGGTGAGTCCTACCGAGTATTCGTTTGTGTACACGGTCGAAGTTGGCGACGCGAGTGCGAATTTCGACTTTGCGTCGCCAAACGCCATGGTAGGCACGATCGTCGGCCGGTCGACGACCAACCGTCAGCCTGTGAACAAAGTCCTGCCATTCCTGCAGCTCACAGGCGCCAACGTTGTGTCGATTGACCCGACGCTGCCGGCAGCAATCGTTGCCGTCACAACAACGCACCCAGACGGAACGGTTGGCGCTGGCGAAGTGATTTCGGTCCAGACGACGTTTGGCCGCCCCACGACCGTCTTGTCTGGGCTGAACCACAATCCGGTCATGTCGGCGAAATTCCCGGCCATGACAGAAGCCAACGGCGTCGTCTACGTGTCGTGGAGCGAAGAAACGTCCGACACCACGAGTGTGGTTTACGTCGGCCAGCTCGACCCGATTGCTGGGTTTCAAGAGCTGAGCCCGCCGGGGGGGATGAACTTTCATGGACCAAACAGCAAAGCCGTCAAGTCGTGCGTCGTCGTCCATGACGGACAGCTCTACGTTGCATGGGACGAGTCCGGCATTGTCAACATTGCGCGGTTCAGCGGCAACATGGCGACGAAAGCATGGACACCGGTGCCGTTTATGGGGTCGAACGCCAACTTGGCGGCCACCGCGTCGACGCCGCAGCTCATCACGTACATGAACACACTCTTCATCGTTTGGATGGAGTTCCGAATCCCCCACACCAACACAGAAGACTCGTTCAGCATTCGCGCCGCCTCGTACGATGCATCTGTCGCCCCGCCGTGGAACGTGTACGACACCGCTCAAGGCACTTATGGCCTCAATAAAGACCGCGCGACGGACCCCCATGCGATTGTGTTTGCTGGCCATTTGTACGTGGCATGGGCCGAGTTTACAGGGTCTCGGTTTGCGATTCAAATCGCAGCGTTCTTGCTCAACACGATGACGTTTGCAAAAATCCCGCAGGTCGGGTACGTCAGCGATGCGTTCGTCACGGCATTTGGCCCGATTTTGTACGCCAACGGCGCCAACAACCAGCTCATGGTGCGGTGGTACACGTTCCCAGCGGCGAGTGTTGAGCCGACAATGCACACTGGCATCGTGATGCCGCAGTATTGGAAAGAACTCGTGATGCCGTTGCCAACGCTAGGGTATGCTCCGCACGTCATGGCGTGTCAAGGCCAAACCATCGTGGCCTACACCGTCCAGACGGCGGGTTCATTGAAACTCGTGGCGGGAGCCGTCGACTCCACCGGGGCACTCTCGAAAGCTCAAACGCTCAACCACAATCTACAACAAGACGCGATGTCTCCGAAATTGGCATGTCTCGCCGGTGGCGTTGCGCTCGCATGGACCGAATACGACGGCGTTTCGTACAAGATGCGCGTCCGACTAAAGAGCGCAGCGAACGACGAGTGGAAAGAAAGCGTCGCTGGGCTGGCCACCCTCGTGCTCACGAATGGACTGGTCGCTGTCAACACAGACTTGAGCGGCACGTGCACGGTAACGCATACGTTTGTCCTGCGCGTCGCCCCGAACACCCCTGCGATCGCCCGACTCAATGCTGCGTCTGTGGCGAGCAATCGCGCCCGGATTCAGGACTGTTTGACTTTTCAACTTGCCAACACGATTTTGTTCCCGCTCGCGTCCGACCGGCGCAGCCTGGCGTATGCAACAAACATCGCCGTCGACACCTCGCCCCCCGTCGTGGTGGACGTCTCGACTACGCTGTCGTCGGGCACATACGGCGCCGGTCAACTTGTTCCTGTCCTCGTTCGGTTCTCGACACCTGTCGTCGTATCTCCTTGGCTGCCGGACGGAAACTCCCCGGCATGGATCGTGTTTCAAAGCCGCGTGGCGGCGTTGGACGGAAGCCACGAGCACAAGGCCGTCTTGAGTGCTGGGAACGGCACGGACACACTCACGTTCCTGTACACGACGCTCGACACGGACAAATTCCTCCTCTTCGACTACATGCTGCCCACGTCCTTGGGTGTCGATCCAATGGCGGGATGGATCCGGCGGAAAGCGACGGTTCCGACCACGGACGCCGTGCTCACGTTGCCGACCCCGGGCCTTGGCCACTCGTTGAGTCGGTGGTTCATAGCTGTCGACACGGCACCGCCGACCATCCTGGACGTCTCAGCGTCGAATGCGGACGGCACGTACTACCCCGGCGACGTCATCCACATCGTGGTGACGTTTTCGCTGCCAGTCATGGTGTGGACAGCCGACTCTCCGCCGCAGCTTGCCCTCGCCACGCAGCCACTGACCAACCCATCCTTGCGCAGCTATGCCACGTACGTCGGCGGCAGCGGCTCCACGCGACTCACGTTCGACTACCAAGTCCAGCCGTTCGATCAAACGACGCAACTGCAGCTGTTCGACGATCGGTCAACGGATGTCGGGTCGTTTGTGATGGCTGTCGAGGCGTCGGCGAACTCGATCTTCCGCCTTGCTTCGTTTCCCACGACGTTGGCGATCCTGGCGTGTCCTGCGCCTGGAACACTGTCCTCGATGAACCAGAGGATTGCCTTGGATTCGACCGTGCCGACGATCACCGGCATGAGCACGACCCTTGCCGATGGCACGTATGACATCGACACGGTGATTCCAATACGAGTCGCGTTTTCAGCGCCCGTGGCGGTCACGGGAATGCCGCTGCTGCTACTAAACGTGTACAAGGATGCCACGAGAGGCGCTGTGTACGCGTCGGGCTCTGGGACAAACGTTATCGTGTTTGTGTACCGAATTCAACTGGGCGACGACGCGTGGCCCCTCGATCACTTGAACACGAACGCGATGCAGCTGAAAATGCCACTGCGGGTGAATCCCCTCCAAGACCCTCCTTTTCCCACAATCCACCGCATGTCGTCCAACCCGACGCTTCCCGCCAACCTGACGCTGCCTCCCCTCGGCCCTGCGCCGCAGATCAACACCCCGCCCAACTTGATTCGAGCAGGGCACGTCATCAACGTCCGTACCGACGGCGTCCGAGTCAGTCAAGTCGAGTCCAGCGCCCCCAAGACTCGAGTCACGTACGCCGCAGGCCACGTCGTTGAACTGTTTGTCCACTTTACGCAGTTGGTGTACGTCATGGGGACGCCTCAGTTGATGCTCAACGTTCCAACACGAGCGACGTATGTGTCTGGGTCGTCCACTGAAGTTCTCCGCTTTGTGTACACGGTGGCGCCTGGGGACACGGCTGCTGGGCTCGAAATCACAAGCGTCCTGTTGGGAGCAGGCGTGACGATCCAAGATGCTGTGGGAATTCCAGTCCCGTTGCAGGTCCCGTCGGTGGGGTCGCAGCACAGCCTAGGCGTTCGATACAAGATCACGATCGCGGGCATTCCCCCTGTCGTGGTTGGGGTCGCAGCACCGACATCCCTTGGCAATGCGGTGCTCGCCGCGGGCGACGTGGTTCAATTCACTGTGATGTTCTCGATGCCTGTGGTTGTTCAAGGAGCGGCTCCTCAGATGGCACTCAACGTGGGTCAGTCCGCTGTGTACGTGTCGGGCTCGGGCACGTCCTCGCTGTTGTTTGTCTACACAATTCGAGCGGGAGATGCCGGCACGTTGGACTACGCGAGTGCAGCCGCCCTGTCCGGCACAATACGAGCGCTATCCACGACTCCGACAACGCTTGCGACGTTGACCTTACCGCTTCCTGGCGCGGCGAAAAGCCTGAGCGCGTCGTCCAGCATCCGCGTCAACACGGTAGCCCCCACCGTGGTGAATGTGACGTTTGCAGGGCTCCAAGATCAAGTGTGCACTGTCGGGATGGACATTCCGATTCAAATTGCCTTTTCGTATCCTGTGGCTGTGGTGCCAAGCCCCGAGATGCCCACACTAGCACTAGCGACCAAGGGCAACATGAACCAAGTCGCCCGATACGTTGGCGGGACCGGCACTTCGTTGCTGCATTTCATCTACACCGTCCAGGCCGGCGACGCGTCCACTGCGCTCGAGTACACGCATGCGAATGCGCTGCGAGGCACGATCTTGCAGTTTAGTTCGTCGCCGACTGTGTCGGCGAGCCTGACGCTGCCGGTGCCTGGCTCGACGGGGAGCCTCAGTGGCAATGCCCGGCTGTCGGTATGCATGTCGTGCGCTCGCGTGCTGTCCGTGACAGGGTCCCCCAGCGGCGTGTACACGGTGGGGGACGCGTTGTCGATGGTCGTGACCTTTTCTGAGGCCGTACGATTCGACCGGCCGACGGCAATTCCACCCCCCACGATGTACATCCGGCTCGCCATGGCGCTCGAGCGCGTTGCATCGTACGTGTCTGGCTCCGGCACGGCCGTGTGGGTGTTTTCGTACCAAGTCCAGCCCAACGACGACGTCTATCCGTTTGAAGTGGCCAACACGCTCGCCATGTACGGAGCCAAGGTCGTGTCGGTGGCGCGACCAACCTACTTGGCGTCGCTTCGTCTGCCGCAACCGGGGCGGCCATTCAACTTTAGCGCGTCGTCGTCCGTACGCATTGATACGACGCCGCCAAAGATCGTTCAAGTGACGACTCCCATTCCCGACGGGACATACGGCCCTGGCCACGCGATTCCCATTGACGTGGTGTTTTCGGTGCCGGTCGTGGTCGCGGGCGCGCCAGTGCTTCGACTCGCCGTCCTGCCAACCCCCCAACTGGCAACGTACAACGCACCGGGATCGACCCCGTCCGTTTTGCGGTTTGTGTACGTTGTGCAGCCAGGGGATATGATTTTTCGACTGGATTACATGCGCGTGTGCTCGGACCGGGGGTTCTTCGACGACGTGGAAGGGTACGACCCCGTGGAATCGGAGCTGCCATGCCTGCCGATCGGAACTGTCTCGGCGCTCGACCTCCATGGCGGGTATGGTTTGACTTGTTTCTCGCGGTGCACAACGCAAGTGTGTGGTGTATGTTTGAGTAGGAGCATCAAGGCTGCGGCTGGCACCCCGACGGTCGACGCCAACTTGGAACTGCCCGCCGTGAGCCCATGGCCTGCGATGCGGTACCTTCGCAGCGACTACTCTGTTGTGTATGGCAAGAACTTGACCGAGCGCCGACCAAACCCGGCTGAAGTTGGCAGCGTCTGCCTGTTTGGTCAAGAAGACGAGCAATTTCATCTACTCGCCAACGGTATTCCCAACCATGCGGCCACTTCTGAACTTGCAGCAACTGCATACATGATTGAACTTCCTCGGTTCCCCACTCCAAATTGGTCTCGAGAGCGCCCGTTTGGACTGGTCGGGGTGATGTTGAATGGTGTCCCGTTCAATAATTCCGCCGACCTCGCGCCACAGTCGGCTGACTCGTGCGGCGGCGCCGTCGACGCGGCCACGAAACGATACACGTACGTTGGGGTCCCGACTTGCTTTCTCGAGACAGCCATGGCGCGGTCGACTATGGTGGGGTACGTTCTCGATGGGTACCCCCTGCACGTCTTGCCGACGACCCGCGTGGCACTCGACGAATGCAACGGGGAGCTCGGACCGGACGGCGTTTATCGGTACTACTTGAACCCACACACCATTGAATCCACTGGCACGTTCGTGCCATGCTTCAAGGGGGTGGTGTCGGTTCGCCAGCAACAAGCTATTGTCGTCGATTACCAATTTGTCGGCGGCATCGAAGGGTTCTCGTCGGCGCCAATGCGCCTGCAAGAACTCGTCGTCGTGCCGCACGGTCGAGACAGCATCTGGCTCAATGCCGACAGTGTATCGATATCCACGACCGCTTCCACGCTCATCGTGGCAAGCTCGGGCATTCCCGATGGACCCGTCGGCCCGTTCCCGAACGCATTCAACCCGAATTCGATCCTGCCCCAAAACTACCAGTTCCGCATCCCGCGGTCTCCGGTCCCGTCGGCCACGCGACATCCACTCGCGAGCGGCGCCGTCGTCGGAGTCATGCTGAACGGCATTCCCATGTACAACACGATCGACACGGACGGCAACTCGTTGCTCGACCCTCGCATCGTCCGCCACTTGATTCTGGACAAGTGCAACGGATACGTCGACGCCACGGGGGCATATCGGTACTACGCGCCACCAGACTGTCTCCTCGAAGCGCTCGGCGAGGTGGCGGGGCAGCCATCGCCCCTTATCGGGTACGCTTTGGACGGCTATCCTATCTACGGACGGTACGACGCGTCTGGCAGAGTGCCCACGAATTTGGACGCGTGCAACGGACGGGTCAACGAAATGGGATCGTATCAGTACCACGTGACGGACTTGCCACCGTACACGATCGGGTGTTTTTACGGGGTCGCGCTGCAGTCGGCGCTGCCGTTCTACCAAAGCTTGGCGGTGTCCAGCGCCATCGCGATTGACTCGACTGCGCCATACATTACAGACATCACGACATTGAAAAACCCAGGTAGACACAACCCCAGCACGACCATGGCAAGGACTTCCATGTGATGACGCAGGGACGTACACGGCGGGGGAAACGATCGACTTTCGAGTGTTGTGGTCCAACCCGATCGTTGTGACGGGGACACCGACGCTGACGCTGGCAGTCGTGAACAACACAACGCGGGTGGCTGCCGTCGCCACGTACAGCGCGGCCACGAGCACATCGACGACAAGCGTATTCTTGTACGTCGTCGGGCCAGAAGAGTATGTGGACGACCTGGCCGTGAGGTCGCCGACCGCACTCGAGCTCCCGGCAGGGTCGTCTATCAAACGTGCGGCGACAACGCCAATGCTAAATGCCATCCTCACTTGTCCTGTGGCTACGCTGGGGGCAAGGTATGGCAGTGGTGTGCTGGGAAATGCACTTCGCATCAGGATGACGACCTATTGATTCCATCATAGGATTCAAGCGGTTGCAAATGTCCAAGTCAACCTGCGTGGCTTGTACCACCCCGACGCGCAAGACTTGACCGTGTACTTGATGCACAACGACATTCGCGCGCGCCTCTTCGACCCGATTCCGATGTCGGGGTACCATTTTGGCCGGCCGCGGGACAACACAGCGCTGCATGTGGACATCGAGGACAGCGTGAGCGGCATTGGCGGCGACTACTCGTTTGTCGCGAGCAACCTCGGTGTGAACCTCGCGCTGAGTGGGATCGCCACACAAAGCACGTCGTTCGGACCGACGTCGCTCGCGAACAAAGCCATTGACGGCATTCGGTCGGCGTATTTTTCCAGCCAGTCCATCGCCCGGACGTCTGGTTGCGCTCAGCGAGACCCGTCGCCGTGGTGGCAGCTACGGTAAGGAACCATTCTGGAGGGTGTGCCGATCGTGTGGGAGAGTTGACTCGTCGTTTTCTTGTGGGTTGGTAGGCTCGACGAGCCCGTGGCCATTGGCACGATCAAGATATTCAACGTGGCTCAACAACGCAGTCAATTTGAAGTGCAAGTCGTCACAGTGACCGGGCCGATTCCAGTCGAAGGCACATTTCAGCTGCGCGTGGGCGGCACATGCACGACGCCTCCTGTGTCTGTCGATGCCGTCGCCATGCGGCGCGACGAACGTATTTTTGGCGACTCGTTCCAGGCCAAGCTCGAGGCTTGCACTGGCCAGGTGACAGTCCTGCGAAGCGCGGCCGACCGCATGGGAGGGTATGGCATGCGTTTGGAGGGTGAATCACCTTTATCGGTGCGTGTAGGTATTCGTGGACAGTGACGTTTGTCCAAGACGTGGGATCGATAGCCCTCATGGACGTCGTCAACCCGACGCAGCCGACGCTCGAGGCGTCCGTCATGACCGTCTTCGACGCCACTGCGAACGACTGGTATTCGTACCAAACGGCCATGGAAAACGTATTTGAGGACACGTTGTATCCGTGCTACGTGATGGTGTTTGATGCGTTGTCGGCGCTGACGTTTGAATCGTTGCAAGATGCGCTGGACGCGGCCGTGTGGAGTCGGTACATTGAAAACGGCCCGATGGAGAAGACGATTTTGCTGCCGGCCAACACGAAGGGGCAGTACGTTCGCATTCAGCACAACTCGCCGCAGTCGTTGAGTCTTGCCGAAGTCGAAGTGTACACGGAGCGGCACTACTCGTTGTCCGACTACTTTGAGGGAAGCCCGGTTGTGAACCAAGCATTCGAGTCGAACGTGGTGTGGACACCCGAGGTGTCCTTCCAGTTCGCGTTCGGGGGGCAGTTGGCTCGCGGCGAATGGAGTCTGGTGCTGCAAGATCGACGGCCGTCCATCGGCGCCATCAAGGACGCGTACCCGCTGCAAGGCGAAGGAGGGCTGTCCGAGTGGCAGCTCGTCATCACCAACACGGCCGGCACCACCACCACGCACTACCTGTCGATGGTTGCGACGGTCGCGACCCTGCCCAAGTACGGCGACCTTCTCGTCGACATTCGCGAGTCCGAGACAGACCACCTTGACGCAGAGGGCAATTCGTACTTGGATCGGTCTGAAGCCAAGCATTTCTTGGCGACGTACTGGCCAGGGTTTATGTTCCTCGACGCGTTTGTGCAGTTTCGGCTTGTGCAGGACGTGGTCGACACGTATGCCACGCACGGCCGACTCAAAGTGTATGGTCAGCAAGGCCAGCAGCGGTGGATCGCTGACACGTGCGAGGGCGCGGTGTGTGTCATGCCGCCAACTCACTACGAACTGTACACGTCGCAGTCGGTCGCGGCCCCCCAGCATTTGCTGGACAAGACGAGGACCATCCAGTACCTGCCGTCGGCGCAGTTTGTCGGGATGGACGCGTTCACGTACACGATTAGCCTCAACAACAAGGACGCGATCGGTCTAGTGCGACTCCAAGTGCTGAATTGCCGAGACCCGTCCTGTGTGCACGATCTGTACTTGGCACAGAGTAGCATGCAGCCTGTCAGATGATCCGAACTCGGATTTGATCTGTGTGTGAAATGTGCTCCGACTGTACTGTCGATGCATCGTGTGTGCTCAGCAGGGCGAGTCGATGCCGTCTTCATCTCGTCCTGGAGCCGTGTCCATTGCGTGAGGGCACGATGAGTGGATGAGCTGAACAGGTGCATCAATCGTGGAGCACGCGGGTGGGGCTACATGAAGGGTGCCGGGGCTATAGTGTGCATGGACAGCAGCCCTCGATGGCTTGACCTCGGCGATGGTGCCCGGGACATGCTCGGCGCCGTCCCACGGGGCCATTCCGTCGTTAGGATGGTTTTGGTGGTTTTCCCTGCAAATTCAGACGATTTTAGCAAATCGTTGAAAATATGTCCAATCAACCACACGTTGGCAAACGTTTACACACACTGTCCTCTACTGGCCGCTCAAAGTGAACTCGAGCTTGGCTTGCTGCAGCATCTCGACGACGCGGGCACTGGTCGGGCGAAGCGCGGGGTCAAACTGCAGGCATGCCTTGGCGATCTGGAGAATCGAGGGCGGACAGTCGGGCGAGAAAGTCGGGCGGAGTTCGCCACGGGCGACTTTGACAACAATCGACATGTCCGGGGCGCCACCGGCCTTGCTGCTCTTCTGGTCGTCAAACGGGATTTCGCGTGTATCCAACTCGGACAGGACCACGCCAAACGAGTACACATCGGAGATTTCAGAGTAGATGTCGCCGAGCATGACTTCGGGAGCAGTCCACCGGACAGTGCCAACACCAGCGGTCAATGTTTCTTCGTAGCTGCGGTTTCGGCTCAGGCCAAAATCGGACAGCTTGGCAATCATGTTGGAGGTCAAGAGAACGTTCTTGGACTTGAGGTCGCGATGGATGAGCTTAGGGGTGAGGCCGTGGAGGTACGCAAGAGCCTGCGCAACGTCAATGGCAATGTTCACCTTTTGTTGAGGCCAGCTCAACTGGATCTTGGGATTCTCCAACAACGTGCGGACGTCGCCGCCGTCCATGAATTCGGTCACGGCGCTCAAATCCATACCCGACGTCCACGTGGCACCGAGGAACTCGACAATGTTGGGCGACTTCAATCGTCCCATGATCTGGATTTCCTTGGAGAACAGCACAGCCTGGTCATCGCCTTCAATCATGCGCTTGATCGCGACGGGTTGGCCGTGGTAGTGGCCCAACCACACAACACCGAACGCACCGCGCGAAATCGCACGGGTTAGGAGAACTTCATTGTGGTCGATGCGGAACGGCAACAGTTCCGGGAAGTAGTTTTCCGAAGGATCGGCAGGGGCCTGGATCGGTCGGAATGTGTCGGTGGCGCCAGAGTTGAGATTCCGCGACGTGTTGGTCGCTTGCACGCCCGACTTCGAGCGGCCGTTGGGGAGGTTGCGCAACGAGTGGTTGAACGTAGACTGGTTCACATACACGTCGTTACTCGACTTGCTGCTTCTGCATGAGCGCCAGATGAAGAACCCAGCGAGGATAGCGACGACAACGCCGGCCGCGATCGCAACGATCAGCACGGTATCGCTCATTACCCCGAGAAAAATGCAAATGACTGGCATCTCGACCAACTCTCTTCCAAAAGACGTAATGTGTGAATCCACCAATCAAAATTTGCAAAAGAAGTCAACGGCCAATCAAAATCATTTCTTTATCTACCGTTTGGCAAAAATAGTGTGTGTTACAGTTGGCCATTTTACAACCGGGCGAAGGCAACAAAACGTTTTTTTCGGTTGCATGTCCTAGCTTGAACATGACAAAAAGTCGAAAATAACATGATCTTTTAGATCGCAGGCACGCAACAGGGCGGATGACACGGACCCAGTCGCTGGTGGCAGTGGACGGTATTGACCTATTGCCTGGCATGATTACGAGCCAGAGGCTTTCGCGGTGAAGTTCGCTGCTCAGCTATGCACGTCGAGTTGGGGCTTAACGAATCTCTGCTCCGTACTCGATGGAGGGGATTCTGTGGCAATTCAAGAATGACAACAGACAGGATCAAATTTCGATCGAATCTCTCCTCCTGATGATTAGTATTGTACTGTTTTAGCCAATCAAAATATTTCCAGTGGAGTATTTTGATGCAAACGACAACGTGTTTTTGTGGGGAAATTGTGCGCTGGGGATCCTAATTACATAGTCGACAGGTCATCCACCGTGTACAAAAGGCCTGAACAAGCGATCGTCGCGATCACAATCATAAATGGAAAAATGCCACGATCGCAACACCCAAAGCTGAATGGAGGCTCTTGACCCACACATGCCGCACTACTGCCTTCTCCCGATTTTCCTCGTGTATTGACCTGAACAATTGCACTCGTCTTGCAGAGCAATCAATGTCCTGGTTGAATGAACTGGAATGAACGAGGCACGAAATGTATTCATGTAATAATACTACTAGTATTCATGCATTACTACTAGTAGTCAATAGTAAGGATCATGTTCCGAAATACTAAGTACTACTAGTAGTAGTTGGTGTCTTTTCATTACTATAATACTTCAAGTAGTAGCAGTACAGATTTTCCAGGTAGTACTGGTAGGTACTACCTCTGTCCCTCTATACTGTCATTTGTATTCAAGGTGACCCAGAGAAGTCATTTCTTCTCCAACACTAATAGGGACGTTTAGCAAGTCCGGAATCATAATACGGTTTTTGCA